TAATGACTATTTATCTAAATAATTCATTGTCAGGCTGTGGTGGCTCACTCCTATAATCCTAGTTACTTAAGAGGCTGAGATATGAGGCCTCAGGTTTGATGGCAACATGGGCAGGAAAGTCCAGGAGCCTCTCCTTAAGCAGCAAAAAGCCAGAAATAGAGCTGTTGTTCAAGTAGTAGAGTACTGGTCTTGAGTGAAAAAGTTAAGGGACAGTGGCCAGGCACTAAGATCAAGCTCCAGTACTGGTACTGTAAAAGTTCCAAGGAACTGGAAGAGTTGTAAGGACCTGCGAGAACTGTAAATGGATAGAAAATGAAAGGTCTATACAGATAAAGGACATGAAATAAGTTAGATATAGATTTTTTTAAATTTTGTTTTGACGATCAAGATGTCTGCTCATGGATTATAAGCTAAAAAATACCAAAGAGGAAAAATTAAGGCCATTTTCCCTTAAAATTGCTGAAATTCAGTTCTTCAGTGGCTTTACAATGTGGGAGCTGGTTCAGTGAATTTCTGCAAGAGAGAGGAGAGATTAGCCAGAGTAGAAGAATCATTTGGAGAAGATCCTAAAAGCATGAGCTGATCACAAACAATAAGATCTAGGTATTTCTAGTTACATCAGGACTTACATTCAGCAGGTACATAAATGATCCTTTTAGTCTTACCAGCTAACAATGTAGTAAAATACTTCCAGAACGCCTAGTAAAAATAAAAATAAAAAAATAAATAGATGCTGATGGCAGAGTTACTACATGGCATCTTTCTACAAAAAGTCAGCTTCATCCTTGACTATGCCTGAGGGTATCAGTTGAGGCAATTGAACAGACAGTGTCTGGTGCATCAGTATGTTCCACGGTGCTCTCACAGCTGTGCAAATTAGGACATACAGCTTTCTCTGCCAGAACCGGCTTTCATCTCTTGAGAAAGTTTATTAATTTTGGACGCTTGAAGTAAAAGAGCTTTGGACAAAATAAAAGACTAAAACAGTCTCTGATGTCTCAGATCCAAAAGGGCTCCAAACAGAATATAGTATTTTTAAAAATAAATGCCTATTCTGCTATAAAGGGTTCAGCAATATAATTAAAATAATCTTTAAATTAGAGGTAATCTTTAAATTTGAGGCATTTTTCAATTTGGGAACAAAAATTACAATTATAGGATGTAAAGATAATGCAGTCAAAATAATTAATGCATATCCAGTGAAACTAGGAAAACTGAGCAGAAGATTTGGGTTGGGAGATTGAGACACAGCATGATATCGATGAACAAGCATTCTACTAATAAACTGATTTGTTGAATGGCAATCCCTTGGTACAACTACTTAAAGATGATAAAATTATAAATTTGAAAGAAGATGCACTGCATTCATAAACTAACATGTTCAATTGAACATGAACAACTACGTAAAGATAATTATTAAAATATTGTTTTATTTTTTTAAGGAAAAGACCACATGTTCACATTGTTGCAGTCATTTATGAATACAATCTAAATGATTCATTGACCTTTTTTTACCGTTGTTTTGCATTTCAACCCATTTGTAAGCACAACATTCCTTACTTCATGATTTGAAACAAGACAATGGCAAATTTCAGGTAATATGTCCAGATACGTGCTTCTTCTCCTGGAGACTTCATTTCCTGGACACATATTACTACACCTGAGCTCCCTTTCTTATTCAAGGTTCAGAACAAATGGCAACTCTAACACACTTTTTTGGTACACATGATGTTTTCTCTAGTGTGGACAAATATAAAGAAATGGTGTTTGAGAAACTTTAAAGAAAATGACAGAAATATGTCTGCTATTGTAATGTACTTTAACCTCACATTAAGAGAATATTAACTTTAATGTATTTTTTAAAAAGTATCTAAGAAATTAGAATTTCCTATCTTATTATTCTACCATTGTATTTTAAATACTCTTTCAATGAAGAATCTTCTTTCTTCATTTTTTTCCTGTAATTGTCAAACCTCCTATGACTAAATTTGTCATGTTGTATAACATTATGTCTAAATATGTCTATAGCATTATATCTACAGCTATGCAATACCCTCAGTTAATAAATTCTTATGGAAAGTACCCTGGGAAGAACGGTATTAAGCTAAATATATGCACTATGTGATGATATAGTAATTATATAGTATTCATTTCGTTTCATGGAAAAAAGTATAAGAATATTTTCAAAAGTTAAATAATAGGCACAAATGAGTAATTTGAATGTCAGAGATCTTTTTCTTAACTCAAGAAATATTTCATATGTTATGTTTTTATTATGGACAACAGGGACATATATTAAAATACAGAATGTTAAAGCAAGTTTTTATTCTTTAAATATTTTTTCCAAATACTGAAGTTTGTACTTAGGGCTTTGCATCTGGTAAACAAGCATTCTACAACTTAGATGATGACTAGGACCCTTAGTTTACTCTGGTTATTGTTAAGAGTCTTGTGCTGCTGCTGCTGCTGCTGCTGCTGCAGCTCCTCCTCCCCCTCCCCTCCCTCTCCCCCTCCTCCCCCCATCCCCTCCTCCCCCTCCTCCACCTTCTCTTTCTCCTCCTTCTCCTCCTCCTGGACTGGCCTGCACAATGATCCTGTGTTTACACTTCCTTCGGCAGCTGGGATGATAGGTATAGGTTTTTCAACTGAGCTATAAAAAACTTTTCTCACAGACTTTTTAATTTTTTTTTGGCCTGGGCTGGCATACCATCATGATCCTCCCAGCTTTTGTCTTTTGAATATCTAGGAATACAGGTATTCTTCCACATTGGGTGATATGTACATTTATTTTGTTTTGCATAGCATCAGCTGTTCCCTCTTTCCCATTTGTTCCCTCCCTCCCATCGCTGCCATTGAGTTTTAGTTCATTTTGGTCCATGGCCAGTGCAGCTAATGGATCCCGCTGTTGTATGTTTTTCCCTGATTTCCTCTAGTTTTGTGTCATCTTCCTGGTTTCCCTCCGGTGTACACATATATGCCATATATGTGATCAGCAGCATGAGGTTATTTAGTAGTGATTCAAACAGATGAGTGGAATACCTTTGTTTCTTAAGTCTTGTTAATTTTGTCGTATCACCTTATATTTTAGATTTAACATCCACTTATCAGGGATGCCATGTGCCATTTGTCTCTGCTCTTGGCTTACCTTGCGCAACATGGTTTCTTCCAGCTCTATCCATTTCCCTGCAAATGCCATTATTTTGTCCTTTCTAATGGCTGCATAATATTCCATTTGGATCCATTCATCTGTACATATCACCCAATGTGGAAGAAATAACTGTATTGCAAAGCTTATACAACTCATAAATGTATAGACCATGATAGACAATTTGCCCCATGAAAGTTAGAATGTGTTTGTGACTTTAACTAAGCCACACTATCTCACAATACTGCAAGATTTGGGGAATTATGTAACCACTTAATCACAATAAAAAATGAAAAAAAATGAAATAATACAGGTATTCTTATAATGGTGCCTATACCATGTTATTTTAGATATTTAATTATGTGGCAAGAATTTCTGCTCTTTTATTTCTCATGTTGTACTGAATATGTATTATGTACATATATAGTTTTATGGGATGTAAAATGTGATCTGTTCTCTTATGTGATTTACATCCAGCAAATTTTAAGTGGTAAAATCTATTTTCATGCTTTAGATAACTTGGTAGATACAGCTATGAAGTAGATTATATTAATTTGAGCAGAAGAGCGAACTGAGGCACAGAGATATTTGACTTCCCAAATACTATATGGCTGAGAATATATTAATCAGATTCTCCAGAGACAAAAACCAATACCACACATAAAAGTGTATGCACACACATATACTTTCACACTCTCAATAGAGAGAATCTATTGGTGAAAAGGGACACGGGATTATAGGTACTGGTGAGTTTTATGAAAGGTTGGTCCACAAACTGAAGACCCTGAGAAACTGATAGCTCAGTCATTGGAAGATCTCAGAGTAAGGAAAATAGTTTCTGTGACTATCCTTAGAGACTAAATACCAGAAAAACCTGAAGGGATGAGGATGTGCTGATGTAAATCCTGCAAGTTTTACTTCAGAAGCAGGACAATAATCATTTATTCATTAGTTTTTGCACCAATTCTTTAACAGGCCTTTGGCAAATTAGATGATGCCTGTGCATATTGAAGGGCAGTTGTTTTGATACACTTTTCTTCCACACTGATCTTCACTGGAGCATCTTCCTAAGCACAACGAAATTACCGATGTGACAGATTTCCTAGAAGTTACTTACTATAGTCAAATTTGAGAGATAAAAATGAACTGTCACAGGAAATGATCTGGTCTATATAGAAAAGAGAAGTATGGCCTTAGAGTCTGCACAATTAACTTCTGGGCTACTCTGGCATGACAAAGAAGGATAGTCTCTTCCTCCAGAGATGATGATTTCTATAGAAATTTTCACAAAGCAATGGAACTAGAACACTTCTTGAATGAACTAGCAAACTTGGGGTTGTTGAAGATGGTAGGTTTGGTAGGGAGCAGAAAAGTAAGTAATCATTAAAAACAAAGAATTACCCAAATATAAAGTGCAACATACATTTTATAGTTTATAGATCATAAAGAAGATGGTCAGAGAGGTTAAAAACTTTGATTAAAAATTGATATGAAGATGAATATGGTATATTATACATTGTATTATTTTATTCACCAAAATAGAACTCACACTAAACTACAGATACACAGAAGGGTTAGAAGTTAACAGTGAGAGTATATATGTTTGTTTATCTTATCTGTCATTTACTAACATTGTAACACCTTTTTCTCCTGGACCAAATCCTCTGAGTAAAATCATCATAATTCCAATAACTTGTTTATTACTCAAGTAGAATATTGCTACTATACACATACATACACACATATGTACCCACCCATAAATTTGGATACCAATAAAAATATCAAAAAATTTTTGAGAAGAAAGCAAAATGAAAGAAAAGAACTTGTATCACAGCTTATATCACTCTATTTTCAGGTAAACCAGTGATGATAGTGACAGAGTATATGGAAAATGGCTCTTTAGACACATTTTTAAAGGTAAGATTTGAAACTATTATTCAGCGTTGCGTATATAACGTCCATGACATTCAGGTTAAAACTATACAGCTTTAAAGCAAACATGTTAAATAGGATTGGGACATATGGAAACAGAATAATTATACTCCAAAATTAAGTACAGTTTGAAACATGTTCTTCTCAAAAAACTTATGCACATCAGCATGTATGACCTCGTGTTTCACTTAAGTACATTGTAATTAGAAACTAAATAAAAGATAATGGGGATGATTATTTTTAGAATAGTGTCTTACTTTTCACATGGGCATGCATCTGAGACATAATTAAGGCTAATTCATAATTTACCTATTTCTGGCTTCCCATTATTGCTGGGAATACCAGTATGTGCTACCACATCCACATATGGAGTCTTTTGGACTTTTTTTTTCTTAGGTTCGTCTGCATGGTCCTCCAATCTCATCCTTTTACAAACTTTGAGATGATAGACATATACCATTGTACCAACTATGGGTTGAAAAGTTTCACAAACTTCTTTCCCTGAGTTTGCCTTCAATCAGAGTCTTCCCAGTCTCAGCTTCCAAGTAGCGAGGATTACAGGAGGACGCAGAGACACTCAGCAGAACAACTATTTTTATGGCTGAAAGTACAGGAGTTATGAAGCAAAAAAAAAAATGCAATGAAATAAGATTGTTTTGACAGGGCTTTCTGAGGCCTTATCTGGTTTGATAGATAAACATTACCAATGTTCACTATTTAGTTTCTATTTTCCAGTTGCCTTCAGAAAGGAATGGCATATGAATTTGGGGCATGATAATATTAATTTGGAGCTTGAAGGAAGATACTGTCATATTTTCCTTCTGTGATTGGTATTCCTTGACTAATATTTTACCATTTTCTTTGCAGAAAAACGATGGCCAGTTCACAGTGATTCAGCTCGTTGGCATGCTGAGAGGCATAGCTGCGGGAATGAAGTACCTTTCTGACATGGGCTACGTGCATAGAGACCTTGCTGCGAGAAACATCTTAATCAACAGTAACCTTGTGTGCAAGGTGTCTGACTTCGGGCTTTCCAGAGTACTGGAAGACGATCCTGAGGCAGCCTACACCACAAGGGTGAGATCTATCAGATTGCACTCTAGATGAAATGCATTTAATTATTAAAGACATTAAAAGAAATCCAAAAGAAAAGGTGTTTCCCTAACCAATTCATCAAGAGACAGTGGGCAAGAGAGAAAGAGAGAGAGAAAATTAAAAATATCTATCGCTCCTTTTTCATTTAGGCAAATTCAAATACTACACTCATTTGCAGACAATATCACTGACATAAATGATGTGATTTTGAGAAAGATAGATACTTGGGCTTATATATTGGGGAAAAAGTGAAATGTACACACATATATTAAAAGGCAGATATAAAAATACTGGACAATTCTAACTGTTTTCACTAAGGTTTCTTCAATGATAAAGTAAATATTTAAAAATAGGTTTTAATTAATTTACCTTGTTGAGTAAAAGAGGTGTTCTTTCAAAAAGTATTAAATTTTCTGGAATTATTTCAATTCCTAGCTACTTTTCTTGTGTACTAGAAAACTGTTAGGTGTGCATCTAGTGAAAACTGGTCAGTTATCCATATTGCTTGGAAGTTATCCATATTCATCAATTATAATGACTGTAAATCAACACTTTTTCTAGAGAAGTAATGTCCTCCTACTTGATAAAGTATATAACTACAGTTTTCCTCAGGAATAAGAACATGTTTATGGCTAAAACAAAGTTTTGGACAAATTATTATACTGTATTTCCTCACTTTGACCTTCTTAAGTTAAAGAGTATTTAATTCTAAATCTTCCCAACATCTTCAATTTGGATATTCTTACTATCTTGACTCATTATGAAGAATTTATTATATAGCCTTTTTCTTCTCGAATTGGATCCCTTTTGTTCTAACACAGAATCATCTTGTAAACTTCCATCATAAATTAAGATATGTGGTACATTTGTTTTTATTCAACTTGTTAAATACAAAATACATTGACAGTCTAACAATATATATATATATTTTTTTTTGGGGGGGGGGTCCGGTTGTGGGGCCTGAACTCTGGGCCTGGATGCTGTCTCTCAGCTCTTCAGCTCAAAGTTAGTGCTCTACCACTTGAGCCACAGTGCCACTTCCGGCTTTTTTCTTTTTGCTTATGTGGTGCTGAGGAATCGAACCCAGGGCCTCAGGCATACAAGGCAAGCGCTCTACCACTGAGCCACCTTCCCAGCCCCCAATATTTTCTTTACTAGATAATAAATCTTTCCATTTTAGTTTTACATTGCTGTTTTGTGACTCATAGGTATTTAAGAGTGTGTGAAAGAGTGATTTATTTAAAGAAACAAAGCCTATTAAAGGTTAGCCTGTTGTGTTAATAAATTGATTGATGGTATATCCCTTCTCTTCTGATCTCAAATTTCACTGTCATTATTTTAATTAAATGAATCTTCAATTAACAATTCTTTTGAGATTTGAGTTGCACTTCATAAACTTGGCCTGACACAGATTAAAAGTGTGGATAAGTCTATTGACACTGTGATTGATTGATGGATGTCTTAGCTAACTGCAAAATAAGGACTATTTAAAGTCTACTAATTTAAGCTGCCTGTCTACAGAACTATGGGGAGAGACAGAGATCTCAATTCTCTCAAAACTGACTCCTGGGCTGGGAAGGTGGCTCAGTGGTAGAGTCCTTGCCTTGCATGCATGAGGCCCTAGGTTTTATTCCTCAGCACCACATGAGCAGAAAAAGCTGAAAGTGGCACTGTGGCTCAAGTGATAGAGCACTAGCTTTGAGCTGAAGAGCTGAGGAACAGTGCCCAGGCCCAGAGTTCAGGCCCCATGACTGACCAAAAAACAAAACAAAACAAAACCAAAACACTGACTCCACTAAAACTGGATTTGGTAGCACTTGGTGTAAAACTTAAGAGATGAATAGGTAAGGGAATTTCAGGTAATATTAATGGCATATACTGACTAGAGATCCAGAAGAAAAATTTTGAGATAAAGTTTAAGATCATCAATAAAGTGCTATCATTAAGAAGCATCCAAATTTCACATTATGAACTAATCACTGTTCTATCTATATGTGATGAGATATTGCCTATGAATACTTAACTGGCAAAAATGAGTTCCAGGAAAGTCCTAGGCAAATATTATGATCATACAAAAAAAGAGCAAATTCATTTACATTCATCTTCCCCCAAATTATAAACATAATATGAATTGTCATTTCCTCATTTATCTTGACATTTATTATAACAGCAATTTATGACTCATTTTTATAAAGAAAATTAAATCATGCTTTTCCTTAAAAATGGGACTAGCAATGGTAATCAACAAGCAAGCTTGCTCTCTTTCTCTCTAGCTTCTTTATCACTATATATTTTCTTAAGAAGAAATGTTTGGGTATATGAGCATGCCTGAATTTAAATATAAAGATATTTCATATTAGAATATGCAAGTGTCTGTTGTGTGACCTAACAGTAAACATACAAAAGCAATTTTTCTTCAATGTAAAACAAAAACATAGTTTTTCCAATAATCCAATTGCAATTTTTAATTTAGTTGACTTAAATAAGCCCATTTCCTAGATTAAACATTCTAATCTTTCAAAAACAAAAATAAAAAGAAGGTAAATTAAGAGGAGAAAATCAAGTTTAAAGGAAAGAAAACAAACTGGGAATGTGGCTTAGTGGTAGAGTGTTTGCCTAGCATGCATGAAGCCCTGGTTTCGATTCCTCAGTACCACATAAACAGAAAATACCTGAAGTGGTGCTGTGGCTCAAGTGGTAGAGTGCTATTCTGGAACAAAAGAAGCTCAGGGATAATACCCAGACCCTGAGTTCAAGCCCCAGTATTGGCAAAAAAAAAAAAATGTTGAGGTTCAGGATACACTTAAGTTTTAACATACCTAATTTTTTCCCTCTTGTCTTGTTAACTATTATACCTTTCAGAGTTACATTTAGCAATCTAGAATTCCTATTCATAACTTCAGTATTTCAAAAATGCATGGAATTTGAGTCCTTTAACTCTCTGTTAGAAAACCCTGAGAGTATACCTTATTGATTTGCTTGACTGCCTGTGTTTTCCTACTTAGAGCTGCCATCCTGAGGACTGTAATTGAGATGTGGTCCTGTATGTGTTCCAAGAGTCAAAGAGAATTTCAAGTAGAAACCTTCCAGACAGCCAATTAGCAGTTAGTCTACAAGTGCTTATGGGCTGGGAGATGTGTAAAGAGACTTCATGCTGTCAAACAGATTCACTTAAAAATGCTACATCTCTTTCCAGATCTTACTGTGAGACAGCAGAATCCCCAGGTACCCTTGAAATATGTGAGCATTTTAATTTTTTAAAATTATTTTTTAGGGAGGCAAAATCCCAATCAGATGGACTGCCCCTGAAGCAATAGCTTTCCGCAAGTTCACCTCTGCCAGTGATGTCTGGAGCTACGGAATTGTAATGTGGGAAGTTGTGTCTTATGGAGAGAGACCCTACTGGGAAATGACCAATCAAGATGTGAGTTTGGATCTACACTTTTTTCAAGTTGAGAATAAAATATTTTGTTCCCTGAATTCAGATCATTTACTGCACTATTTTGTATCTGAAATGACAGCTTTTTGAAAAATATGAAATATTTTGCTCACTCTCTGTTTTGCTGTTGTTGAATAAAGACTTTATATTACTTGAAGTAAAAAATTACTTGGAGTAAAAGAATATAAGTTACAATTACATCAAAACTCATTTCCTTGCCAAAGAGTTTTAAGTGGATTGTAGTGATGTTTAACTCTGTCTATGTCAGGATCATTCTTTAAAATGAAGAAAGAGGTATAAAATAATCAATACTGACGGAGCACATTTTTCTAATTTTCATTTGATGAAGGCAGATAATATCCCATCACAAAAGGATGAATGATTTCATGGTGAATGTTCTTAGAAGATTACAAGAAATAGTTTATGTTTTTTCAAATTACAAGATTTAGGATATGCTATATTATGTATTTAATTTTGGTGGGGGAAACACAGAGGTTTATGCTGCAGTAAAAAATAAAACAAATACAAAAATGAATTCATGGTTTCAGATATTACAACTGTAATATTAAAGGAACAATGAAAAATTCCATTTTCAAATTAATAGTTTATGATTTGAGGCCCAACATATTACTCTTATCACAGTTCAATACATTATTTTCTAGTTGGGGTCGCATCAAAACTTGATTTTGTTTTCTTAAAATAACAATGGTAAAAGCAGAAGATCGTGTTAATTTCTTACTGTGTTCCAACACTGGCTCAGATATATAACACATTGATACTATGAACTGGTAGCTCATTTACTTCTTTATAAAACCTGTATATTGAACATTATTAATTTGATATGATACTTATTGGAAACATTTAATTTTCTCCAATGGTTACTTTCATTTATGTTCTATAGTACATTGCTCTTCTATGCCTGCCCTCAGGGATTGCTATATACTATTTCTCTCCAGCTGAATTTTGATAAAACAACCGATCAACTTAAATTAAGGTACATTGCATATGAATTTTAAAGTGCTTTCCCCAACTGGAAAGCCAGCCTGAAACAAATTAGATATCTTTGGAATGAATAACCACATTTTTGTTCTTTTGGCTCTGCCAAAATCTGTTTCTACATTCATCTTTGGAGAAAGGTACACAGACATGTTTCATGTTTTCTAGTGAGGCTTGTATCTGGGTTCTTCCAAAGAACCTAGATAGAGGCTTCTTATACGATCAGGATGGATTATGTGGTTCAATCAAAATCCTAGAACTCTTTTCACTTGCTGCCTGCCTGTCAACTTACTGAACCATGCATGAGTCTGCTTTATTAAGAGAAGTACCTTCTTGTTGGATGCTATATTGCTGCTACAGGCTCTTCTACCATGTGATTTCTTCAGTCTTCCTGGGATAGGGCCACTGACCAGCTTTTCTTACAATAATATCATAGCACTCTTCTCTGCTAACAACATTAATGTGGGTTCATGGATTTTTTTTCCTCCCAGCAAATACACAGCAGGACAATGAATCTCTGCTACCATTGATTTTCTTTGGGCCAAGCTCTCTTGCCTTAGGAAGAATTGTGTCATGTGTTGGCTTATATCAAGGAAATCTCATTTGCCAAAAGGCTGAAGTACAAGTACAGTACACCTTAGCTGGCAACATGCCTTCTAAAATCCCAACCATCAGCCACCTACTTTCAAAGTTCTGGGTTGACAGCTCTTCTTACATCCGTGGGTACTATAGTTATGGATAAAAAGATAAGAACAGGAAAATAAGAGGATATGAGGTGATCCTCTAATCCTGCATTTCTCCCTGTTTCAATCAATAGTTTTCAGATTCAATCAGTATCTTGAGAATAATTCTCATTTTTCTATCCCGTTACTGTTTTCTGATTTCATCTATTTGATACTTAGTAGCTTTTTCCAGCACATTGTAGTGTAACTCAATGTGACTGCTGTGAGTCCTTTCTTTGTTATTTTTATTATCCCTTACTCTTTAATTTTTCCTTATTTCAATCTTTCCATTCTACTTATTATTTTGAATAATTTAGAAAACAGAAAGAAATTACAATATAATAATATTTTAAGAAATTATAAGTATAAAAGGTAACATTTTAGTTTTTACCTTGTTTTATGTGAAGTTTACAGAAAATGATTCAATAAGCACAAATCTTTGGAATAAGTTTCTTGTTCATACAATGTCAGTATGTGTTTTTTTTCCCTAGTGTGTTTGAAATTATCAGTAGCATTTAATTTCTAAATACAGCTTTATATGTTACGTGCTCCAGTTTCTGTCTGGATTTTTATCCAAAGAAACATGGCAAAGTGACTGTATTGAAGATCATAATCACTAACCATTTTCATAGGAAAAAAGTTCGCAAAAGGCAGTTAAGTACTGACTTGGGAATTTCAATTGATACACTCCATATTGTCTCCATTCTAGACACTACCTAATCCTAAACAGGCTTTGGTGCCTGCTCATTTTCTAGTCATTCAGAATAACTAAATTTCACAGAGGAGACTGTCCTCCATGTCAGGACAGTATGGGGCAGTAAATATTTTTTAAATAAAGTTTTCTGCTGCCATCACAGCAGAAATTGGTAACAATAACAAATGAAAGTAAACCAGAACTATTAAGATGATCTTAGTTAAATACCAGTTCATGAACCCTGATTCATGAACTGTGGATAAACTACTACAGTTAGTAGAAGCTTGCTTTTTGACAGCAAGTACTTTAAACATCACCATTCTGAACTCAAAATGAAATCTGTCTCATTTTCATATTTATAGTCTGCATCTTTCTCTTAAATTTATTGATGAATGAATGAATATATAGATTTCTAAGCCCAGAAGTCTGAAGAATTTTCATACTCATACACGTAATCTATTTTCAATACCTATTTTTAGAATATTTTTTCATTTATTATATTTAAGAAGCTGAAGAAAGGAGTTGCCATTTAACAAAGCAGTTTATGAATAGAATGTGCCTTGATCAGTGTCACCCCATTTAATATTCCTAACCATGCCTCCTCTAGCCACGCCTTGCCTTGCTCTTCTCTTCTTTTATTGAATATTGTAAAGGTGATAAACAGAAGAATTACAGTTACATAAGTAAGGTAATGAATACATTTCCTTGTGTACAGTGTGACCTTTTCCCTCACAGTTTTTCCCTCCTGACTACCTCTCTGACAAGTTGAATAGTTCATTTTCTACCTAGTATCTAGTGAGTATCACTACTGCATTTGTTCACCCTTTGTCCCACCATTTCTGTGCTCTCTCCTTACCCTCTTTAAAACAGCAACTCTTACAAACAAGACAAAAAGTATAGAACATTGTAGAATTCATGACTGCATTCTTCCTTTCTTAAGGAAGATTGCTAGCATATATTATATACACAAGTAAATATTATCCTATATTAGATGTTCTGAATTTTCTCTAAATACATACAATGTACGCTAAACAAACTCAATCAACTTACGTTTTTTTTAGAGGGCCACTTAGTAGTCTTTGCTTTCTATTACCTACTTTTGCTGTCTTGGATCTTATTTATAAAGCTGGACACTTCAACTGATTCCACAGTTTAAGTAGTGGAAATCAAATTCTAAAAGACATGGATATAGGCTATCCTTCTTGTATAGTGATTTATATTCTTTTGGATATATGTTCAATAGTTAGGAAGGGCTTGTAAGTAGGCTGATTTTTAGTGTTTTTAGTGATTAAAATACTTGCCAGAGTTTAATGTTTGTTTTCTTAATATATTTTGGTCATTTTTAAGAATTCCTTCTTGCCTGGCACTGTGGGTTCATTCGTGTAATCCTAGCTATGCCGAAAACTGAGACTTGAGAACTGGGATCTCAGCCAGTCCACCCACAAAGTCTGTGAGACTCTCATCTGTAAGAAAGTAGAAGTGAGTTGAGTTTCAAGTGGTAGAGAGCTAGCCTTGAAAAAAAAAGCTCAGGGACCACATCTTCTATGCCCTTAGTTCCAGTAGCAGTATTGGGCACAAAACAAAAATTACAACAATAACAACAAAAAAATTTTTTTAATTCAAGATTTTGTTTTCTTTTACACATTTTTATTAGTCTATTTGTCATTTATCTATGGTCTTGCTATATATTTCCTATGATGCATGAGGGTTTAACACATGAGATATATTATGGTTGTTGAAATTCGATGATTTGCCTTTAAATTAGTTATATCACTTTTCAGTTAACTGTATTGTCAGTAGCTGTGGCCATTTGCTTGTAGTTAATTATTCTTCTCACTATGTATTTTCAGAGTCCCTAATTACTTTTGTCTTCTTTTCACCATCTAACTTTTGATTCTTCTTTGGGATCTTTATTGTATATTTTTTCCATGGAAATATACAGATACCAACTTCAAGCTATGATCATGTGCTTATAACCTTCATGTGTGCTTTACATCCCAGATGCCTTCTGTGCTCTGGCTAGATTCCTACAAATTTGCAGGTGGGAGTGTTTTCAATTACTTCAGACTAAAAGATTCTCAAATTATACCTGATAATTTTTCTCCCTTTGAAAATTTTGCTCATTTTCAGTTAACAGAAAAGGCTTTTCAGTGTGATAGGCTTGAACGTGTTTAATTTCTACTTTCAGCTTAACTCCTAGGTCATAAAAGCCTTTTACACCTACCACTTCATCTTCTTCCCATCTGTCACTGAATTTATGCAAATGTCAGTTCTTTATCAAGGAGAAGCTGAGCTCATTCCAATCTTTGACAATTATCTTTGCCAAGTTCTTTTGTTGATAATTGGTGTTCATTTACCAAAAGAAATCAAAATTTTGTGGAATAATATAAGTTTATTAATTACACAGTCACAAGTAATTCTAGTCATATGATACACACAATACAATTTTGAGAAGTATGCCTATTATTGTTTTATCAATACTCAAACATTAGAGGGTTAATAAATGAAGGAAGCGAGTATTGTTATATTCAGTAGTATGGATAAATATTTTCAAGTTAGAATTTTTGATGGTAGCTACATTATTACAAATGTTTTTGATAAGAAAACCCATAATTAGACTAGTATTCATATGTGGTTACATTTAAAATCAATGATGTTTGTAAAGTCTGTGCTACTAAGATAGTCATTTCAAATTTCTGACAGAAATCAGCAGATGATCATAAACATTCAGACCTTGACATTATTAAATGAGACATGAGACAGTTATGGTAATTTAGCCTTTGGCTTATCCATCATTTATACCCAAAAGTCTTTTTTGAAGCAAAATTGCTGTTCTATTACTTTTAAAATGTGACTCTGCTCATATTTTTTCATTAAAAAGACATTAAGTTTTCAGAGAAATCACTGGGAAAATTTAATCTTTACTTGATTCCAGCATAGAAGAATAAATAAAACATGAACAATGCATTTTATGTCAATTATTTTTACAAATCACCATTCACCAAGACTTTAGGTAAAAATGATTACCATTTATTTATCAAGTGTGAAGAAATTCTCTTTATACTGTGGTAGTTTATTTCTTTTATTTGTATTTTATAATAAAAACCTAATCATAGATTTACAAAACAGTGATGCTGAAAGCTAGGTGAAGTAAATTCCTCAAGTTATCATGTATGAAATCTGTGGTGTTGAGAACTGGTTTGCTTTGCTTTATGCAGGTGATTAAGGCAGTTGAAGAAGGCTACCGTCTGCCAAGCCCCATGGATTGCCCTGCTGCTCTCTATCAATTAATGCTGGATTGCTGGCAGAAAGAACGGAATAGCAGGCCCAAGTTTGATGATATAGTTAACATGTTGGACAAGCTGATCCGCAACCCAAGTAGTTTGAAGACGCTGGTCAATGCATCAAGCAGGTACAAGGCCAGAACTGAGCTCGTGTTCTGAATGTGCTTATTATCATTTGATGACTTTAATATTTCATCATTGAAATCATTCTTTTATATTTCTTGGTCAGTGAATATCTATGGAACTAATTTGCTTAACCTTATATCATAGATACCTTCTCCTGACTTAATAGTCTAAAGTGAAACTATCAGGAACATATGAAATCTAGCCACATTTAGGTAGCATTAAAAGTACTTCTCAAATGTTACATTTTCATGCATTTTGGAAGGTACATGCAGATGAAGGGAAAAAAATGAGGTCATAGAGAAATGAAATAAAACAATGACACAGTTGAAAGTAAATATGTCTAACAATAAGCACATATTTAATAATTCTTTAAAAATAAATTTAAGTGTCTGTCATTTAAATATGACAACATTTTATGCTTTATATTGAAAACGTATTTGCTCTTATCCAGTTGTACAGTTGATATTTGGTTACTCATTTAGGGCACAGTTAAAATAATACTTAAAATGATAAATGAGTAATCGTGAAGAAAGTTTATATACAAAAATAATTGTATTTTTATAAGTTTTTGAATAACATCGTGGACATTTTAAAATAATGTTGCAGACTTACAAAGTACTCTACCTGGACGTGGCGCTGTGGCTCAAGTGGTAGAGTGCTGGCCTTGAGCTGAAGACAGCAGGGACAGCACCCAAACCCAGAGTTCAAGCCCCACGACCCACCAAAAAAAAAAAAGTACCCTACCTTTCCCTAAAATTTGCCAGGTTCTTGTTTTCACTAAATTTGAAGACTTGCTTATTTTAACAAGAAAGATTATTATGTTAGCAACTGAATTGGCTATTAGCATGAATTAAATGAAAACAGACTGTTCATGAAGTTACAGAAGTTTTATGTTTTTGACATAACATTTGTTTACAAGGAAAAAAGTCATTTTAAATGCAAGTGAGAAATAAATCTTCAAGTTCTGTTTAGGCATCATTAACTTTCTGTGGTAGCAACTGGAGAGTGTATCTTCTTAACATTCTTCCCAAGCTGTTCCCTAAATATCTGTTTTAAAATTGTTCATTGACATTTAAATTATTAAGCTGATCTCTCAGCTATTATTTAAATTATGTTAGAGCGTCATGAATAAAAAGAATGAAAAGAAATCATGAAATAAAATATTGTTCTAATTTATATTGGTTCACTTGATCATCAACAATGTAGCTTGAAAACAATTTAAAATTTTCTAAATAATGTTCTTGTTTTCTTGAGTGGAATGTAAAATTCCATGTAGCAGCAGGTTTAATTTAATCAGATTTAGCTTTCAGAGCCACATTCCCACTACTTTTCTTTATAGTCATCTGAAAACTCCAGTTCTAGAACGTATTAATTCCTGGGTTTTCATCTCTCTCATTCTTTCTATCCTCATCTATGTCACAAGGTTTGATGACTGCTCTTAAGTATTTCTCAGTTCCCCAAAATTTTCTCCTTTGATGATTTTCAACTCTACCCTACCTTGGGTTTTCTTTCCTGTGGTCATATTCTGCCAACTATGATACTGTCAAAACCTACAAAATCTCCATAATTTAACCTATAAAATTCAGTTGTCATTCTGCTTCCTTCTATATTTCTAACTCTGAAAAGTCTTCAACCCTACCATAAATCACTAAAACGGTCAGTATACAATTGTTCGACTTCAACTGTGTCATGTTGTGGGCTAAGAGTTAAGCATGCAATGTGTAAGAACTAAGCCTAGCAACTTCCTTTGATGGATCCATTATACTGTTGTGTGAGAGAGAAATTGAACATAAAAACATTCCAATAAAACCTCCAAAACCATGTGTTTAGTTTTGCAGTAAGGAATAAAAATAAAAGCAAGAGGCTATTGTTACTTTAATGGTGAAGCATAGTGTCTTGAATAAGGTAGTCAAAAGGTACAAATTGGAATTATATGAGTAATATACTCAATATGTGCCATTAGAGATTGTGAGAAAAATAAGAATGCAGAAGAAGTGTACAATTTTCACATATACTGTTATTGGAAGTACTTCAATAGGAGAGGCAGGTAGAGAAGATCACATGTGATTCTCAATGATATTGAACATGTTCAGAGAGATGGCATGTCTATGAGAAATACAGAAGCTAATACATAAAACCTACTCTAAGTAAAAAAGACTGAGAAAATAAATGTTATTAAAATATGAAAGTCTAAACTAGCCCACGGTCTGAATGTAGTTAAAATTTGAGATTAGAAGATATAGGACCATCCCCTATGACCCAGCAATCCCACTTTTGGGCATTTACCCAAATGATCACAATCAAGGCCAGCACAACTATGCTTACTGCAGCAGTATTTACAATAGCTAAGATATGGAACCAACCCAGATGGCCCTTGAATGGATCAAGAAAATGTGATATATATATATATATATATATATATATATATATGAATTTTATGCCTCCATCAGAAAGAATAACATTGCCCCATTTGTTAGGAAATGGACAGACTTGGAAAAAATTATATTAAGTGAAGTAAGCCAGGCCCGAAAAACATAAGGCCCATGGTTTCCCTTATTTGCAATAACTAGTACATGTGTAGGACAAGCAGTAAAGGGCAAAAGCTACGTACATATGACCATATAAGATGATGCTAAGTAAAATAAACCCCAAGATAGGGACACAGATATCTTTTTTTTCTTTTTGCTATTGTTTCTAACATATTTATAATGTACCGTGTGATGTTTTTGTTTCTTTATATGTTCCTCCCCCATAGTATAACCGCTGTTTCCACTGTATTTGATGTTGGTGCCCTGCATCTTGTATATACATTGCTCTAATTCGGGGAGGGGAAGTGAAAAAACAAAATGCTTAATAAGGATACAGGTTGACCCATTGTAGCAATTAGATGCACAAAACACTATGTTAAAAACAAATTTTATAACTTAGGAGGGAGGAGGGGGAGTTGTGGAGGTGGGAGGAAAGGGATGCTAGGGTTTCAAAGGAGGAGGTGACAATGCTTAATAGGAAAAGTACTCATTACCTTGCTCATGTACAGCATTTTTACAATAAAAACATACAAAAAAAGAAGAAGATATAGGACCAAGTCTTGGGTCTTTCTAGATTTTAACTTAGGAAATGAAGTAGGAAAATACAAAAAAAAAGAGTAAAAAGAAAGTAGTGATAGACATGCTGTGGTAGCCAAACAAGAGAGAATCACTATTTTCATAAATGTAGAGGTAGAATATGGTTTAAACAAAGAGATACAGTGGTAGTTACAGATGTAGAATTTTAGCAGAATGGAAGTCATTGCTCATCTCAAGCACAGTAGTTTTTTTTTTTTAAGAATTGGTTTTGAAAAAAGAAAAAAAAAGCACTCAAATAGACTGAAGTGTAAATTGAATGTGAGAAACTTCTGAGAAGATGAATGGAAAGGAGGGTGTCTGTGTCCTGTGTTTCACAGTTGTCACAGCCACTCATTTTTTTTGATACTCAGATACAAAGGACCTTGATCCTTTTTCCTAATTATTTCCTTAGGATATAGTTTTATAACACAACATCTCATAATTTTTATTTACCAAAAGTATGAATTTAACATTCTAAAAAGGATCTCATGATTTGGTTGATTTTGTTTTGTTTCCACATATATTTGAGGTTACAGTTTGTTTTTTTACCTTACCAGGTGAATCAGTAAGCACTGGACATAAAAAAAAATCAACAAAAGATAAGTAGTTTCTAGATTTCCTGGGAAATTAACTTAACGCTAGGTTCCTCTGTTAAATTGTAAAATTATTACTTTGTACCAATTACCCTCCACGTGCATATATAGTATTTTATAAACCAAAAAATAGTAGTATATGCATAAATCACTATAAAACTATATACACAATTTTAAAATGAGTAATTACAGTTTGAGAGCAACATTGAGCAGAAAACAGAAGTCTTCCAAATGCCACCTCTCTCTAAGAACATGCCACCTTTCTAAATGATTATCAACATCCACTGCCATAATGGCATACCTGATACAACTGATAACTATACACGAATCTATTTCTATCACTGCAGATTCATATTTACACCATGATCCATTACTGGTGGTGTATGTTATATTGGTTTGGAAATGCATACAGACACATAAGAATAGTGTCCTACAGATTCATTCCATTTCTCTAAAATCCCTAAGATAGGAATGACTTTTACAATCTATCCTTTGAGACTACCCTTACCTTGTGACTTATAATATCCATGTTTTCTATGTTTTAGAGTATCTAATTTGTTGGCAGAGCATGGTTCTCTAGGCTCTGGAGCCTACAGGTCAGTAGGTGAATGGCTAGAAGCAATCAAGATGGGCCGGTACACAGAGATTTTCATGGAAAATGGATACAGTTCAATGGACGCTGTGGCTCAGGTGACCTTGGAGTGAGTAATTTTTCTGATAATTTTTACATGATTGCTGGGGTGAGGAAAATTGTTCAGAAGCCAGTCTGGATGAGATCAAGGGAAATCAGTTAACCTTTGTCCATGTGTGGCAGCTTTCAAAGAAGCCTCATCTTTTTAGCCTGTATTGTTAACAACTGCATGGTTAAATGCTTCTTGTGGCCAGTATCTTTGCTTCTTTGCTCAAAACAAATAGCATTTAAATAAGTGAATAATTGGAATAACAGCTTCTTAGCAAAATACTGGCATTTTGTGTTGTGGAAAAAAACAAATGTTTTCCTGATAAGTTTTTTACTGGTACCTATGTTATATGAATGTAAATACAAAATGAAACAAATTGTAAGCACAATTGGTGTGGTCAGTCCTACATAACAACAAAATATATTCCTAAATTTCAGCACAAAACATATTCCTAAATTTCAGATTTTTATGGCAAATAATCCAGGTTATAAACAGCTCAAGTAAAATTTCCCAGGCAGGAATCTTATTTGATGCCCAAGTGGTACATTTTATATTCTTATGATCTAAGAATATATTAGATCCTGCCTCAGATCTGTTATTTGGTACAATCTCAGTGGAACCAATTGTGCCCTTTTTCTGTTTGCACGCTTAAAATTCAACAAATCTAGTCAAATAAAAGATCACTAGAGTGAAATATTAAATAATTTAAGGTTGTAAGTTGTTTGTACTTTATTATATACTCTGTGTGTGTAATTATTTTAGCCTAATTGTTATATGTGAAAATTACCTGTCATATGATGATTCCAATCTTGCTTACATCCACATTTATAATGTTTTAACCTGTGAATAATGTCATGAGAATTTACTTCATATGACCTGGAAATTCAAAGGTTAAAATATTGCTGTGAGGAATAGAAAAACTTAGAGTATTCTAAATCACTAACCCACAGACTTTAGTTTGTCATCACTCCATGAGATAAGAACACTGAAAACTTAGTCATCTCTATTGTTCTGTCATTCTTTGAGTCATTAAATTCACTGCTCTCCTCAGAAAAGGTAACAGGGTACCATCATTTGTCACTAGTTAATTCATAAACTAAACTCAGCACTTTCTTCCATCCTGTGGATAACTTCATGATCCTAAAATCACAACCACTCAGCTTACTTTCCTAGTTTACTAATGCCATTCTTATTCTCACGTCACTTTCTGACATACATTGACATACATATATATTTTGACCGTCACTTCTTGGGACATTCAAGGAACTCATTTGTGCTATATTTAAAATAGTATACTGAAAATTTTGCTGATAATTTTAAACTATTTTTACATGATTGCTATTTAATTTTTTCAGTAAATAATGGTCATTTTAATTTATTGAAGTCATTTGTCATTTTATATTAAAATGATACTGTAGGTATTTCTTCTACCCAATGTCAGATTACTTGTAAATATATAATAAAAATATTTGCATTAAACAATGTCTCTTTTTTTAATTAAAGTTGCACATGCTCATATATATCTATATATGCATATAGATTAGATATATGTGTGTATATATATATATATATATATAAGTTTCTAACACATTTTTCTTCTCCCCTTCACAGATAATTATAAAGATAAGAAATGTTTTGGCTTAGTTTATTATTCTAGGGCCCCAAATACTTTGTGTGCTAGTTATTTTTATATTATGGTTCACTTTTACTTGTTTACTCGCCTATATATTTCTACATGCTCAAATTCTTTTCATTGTGTGTTTTCTTTTCTCAAGTCTTCATAACCTTTTGTATCTTCTTTCAATGGTCTTCTTATTCAGTTTATTGCCTCTTAGATGGCTTCCTTCAGATATTTTATCTTTTAACATATTTATTCTGAAAATTAAGAACATATTCCTTCAACAACTGTTTGCCTTTGTATGTCAGTCGCTTCCAATTCTTTACTAGGATTTAAGCCAGTCAACCTAATTTTACCGAAGCTGATTTCATGAATAGTCCTGTACTATTAATATATCTCTCATTTATTCTTTTCTCTTAATTGCTGAAAACATATTATCCAAATACTGTGTCAACACACACAATTAGGGCAATTAGTTACTTATATATCAATATTAAAAATATAAGCCTTCTGTATGTTTTTTTTTTCTCTCAACTGGGTACTACTTAGGATTTATAGCAAAAGAAAATTTGGGTATCTGGCAAAAAGAAAAAAAAGATAAGTTGTCAAAACACACTGTGATAACAAATTTTTCTACAATCCTAGCCCAATATTAAAGTATTAATTTTATGGATCCCCTGTAGTATTATAATAAAATACATTATTCCTAGAACTATTGTCATAAAATCAGAGGAATTGAATGATTCAAATATTGTAAATGTTTAGAAAAATGTTACATTCATAGCTGATAAATAAATGCTGAAATTGCATATATAAAAAATTTTGTTGTAATTTGTGACATCAAATTTGGTTTCATAGAGGGTTTACAAAAATAAGAATAAGAAGCATATTTTTCAGAACCACATACTTTGGTTTCAAATTTCATTCTTTAAGGTTTAATGGTATGTGTTTATATATTGTTTACCAACACATGCATGAATGAATAAATTAATAAAGACTTGGAGATCTTAATCTTAAAGCATGTTTGATCAAAGTATATTTTCACTTCAGATGTTTCTGCTATCCCGTGTATAGTTTTTGATATTTGAACAACTATTATGTCAGAGATGACAAGAAACTACAATTATGTATGTTTAAGTTACTATGGACTATAGGGACTATAAATTTATTCAAAAATCTGCACTTAAGAACAGAATCACAAGCCAGGCACCAATGGTTCATGCCTGTAATTCTAGCCACTCAGGAGGCTGAGACGTAAGGATCACCATCCAAATCCAGCCTGGACAGAATAGTCTTTGAGACTCTTATCTCTACCAGAGAACCAGAAGTAGTGCTGTGGCTCAAAGTAGAATGTTAGCCTTGAACAAAAAGAGCTCAGTGACAGTGTCCAGGCCCTGAATTCAATTCCTATGACTGACCAAAAAAAAACAAGAACAACAAAATCACAGCTGCTTTTTAGACTTCTAGTCAAACCAGTATTGCCAACTTCTGTTTATTCAGAAAAATAAACAAAATTCAATGTATTTAAATATACCAATTTGTATGGGCTACAGGGTTTCCTGTACCCATGAGTTGAGTTTTAAAATATTAAAATAAACAATTTTCTAAATTTAAAACCAAAATTTACACAGAAGATTCAAATGCATTTATTAACTTAAGAAAGTCATTTTGCATAATTTAGCAAATAATGCATAATCTTCTCTGTTCTATACTTATGCTAAACTGTAGCTCTTAGTAGGCCATATTTAATAAAAGCCATACTAAGGTTATGCATCCTCTTGACAAATGTAAACGTGTTTATATATAAATAGATGATAGATGACTATTATGTAGGTTTAGAAATGATTATTGAAATTCTTGGAAATAAATTGAAAAGTGACACACACCTGAAGTATACAACTATGATGAAAGCAAAACCCACAGATTATTAAATACACAGTAATCTGACTTCTTCTATCCCACCAATGTTGATGGGGAATCTTTCAGTTATGTGAAGCAGAGGGGAGAAGATTGAGCTAGGGAATTCATCCACAAATGTTTCTCTTTTATCCTGAATAATGAAGTTGACTCCTACCTCAACTACACACCTCTAATTATTTCTTACATTTTATTTTACCAGTTTGAAATCTTAATATGCCTGAGCAGCATGTTATACTGATTAGAATTATTGAAAGAATCCTCAAATATAGTGTCAACAATGGCATTTTGTTCTATTTACAGCTTTTCTAAAACTAATTGTGTATGATCGTTGTATGAGATCTATTTTGTGTGTGTATAATAGCATTTTCATCATGCTGAGATTTATAAGCTTATGCTTGAGCAGTGTTTGCAATCATTAGGATTGACCTTGGCCATTGTTTAAGATTGCAAACAATCAAGATAATACTGGTATAATATTTTAAAAGAGAAATTCTTACAATTATCTAGACATATATGTCTTACATAGCAAAAAATGAAATGAGAAAAATAGTACATGATATGAGTAGATTAACACAAAATTTTAAGAAAATTAAAGTATTCTACATTTAATGGTGAGAGGGAGGCTATGTTTCATAAAAGATATAATTTGAAATGGTTTCTTTTACAAACATTATAGCAGCCCCCTCACCCTCAAGTGTAGAATACTTGAATTTCTTAAAGTTTTACTGTTGTTTTGTTAATAACACATGAAAACAACAAAACGTATGCAGCAGAACTATCTAAAAACAAATAATGCATGTATGATTACTACAATGAACATATTTAACCTTTGCTATGGACATATTTCTAATTCCATTTTGATTCTTATAGGCAGTGTCCCTAGAAAATTATCAAGAGTTTTTAAAACTACTTTACTTTTAAGAACAATCTAAACTTTATAACTAGCTTTATCCTGAGTCTTCTAGTGAAAACCACATTGTGTAGAAGCATATACATACTGCATGTATTATAGGAATGCTGATGATTATTGTTGAGTAAATGCAGCTGTAACTCTTCAGGCAATAGGTACATACATGAGACTATTAATATAGATGCAACCACCAGAGTCTTCATCAGGAAGTATGTGCTCAGTTCCTATCATTGGAGAACTTCTTTAAGAATTTTAGGTATTGAATGTTGTATTTTCCAAATTTGTATTTCATGAAGAAAAATTTTTTTATAGTTATCTGAAAGTGTTTTTGTTTTTCCTAATATCAAGTCTAAGTATAATGAGAAATAAAGAATAGAGTCTTTGTGATCAGTTACCTGGTTTTGTTCCTAACTCTACTACAGCTGGCTTTGTTATTTAGCTAAGAGACTTAAATTCTTCATCCTTGCATTTTCCAAACCATAAAAAGCACTTAAAAAAAAGTTTGTGTCTTAGGGTTAAATATTCTGCTAACATGGAGTTTGTTATATCCATGTTTAGTACTATTGTTCTCAAATGGAGGAGATTTTTACCCAACAATATCTGAAGATATTTTGTCCATCACAATAGGGACATAAGATGTAGAGTGCTTTGTGTATCTAATGAGTGGCCACCATAGATGCCACTGGCTACCCTACTGTCTAAGAACAGCCCAACAACATGTATTTATAATGTTGATATGGGCCATGGTGAGAAATTCTGATTTTATTGAAAATAGAAAAGATGAAACTGAAACTTAAAAAAAATAAACTGTAGTCTACATTGCCTGTGTCATAGTCGATTTTATGATTATCTAACAATAGTGATTTTATTTCAAAGTGAATTTTTACCTATTCTTCAGTCTTGATGATCATCTCCAATGCCACATCTAACATGATTATTTTTATACTGTGACCTGACCTGCAATCTTCTTATTATAGTAAAATCTGAGTTCATTCACACTCTAAAAAATAAATTTGTCCCCATCCTAAGCATTTGGGGCTACTTTTAACTCCTAAAGTTCTCATAAGAAATCAAGAAACCATGAAGGAAGAGGAGACATATAATACAACTTTAGTAAACAATTCTTTCTCATACCTCTTGTTTAAATTCAGCTAAGGCATACTTTAATTTTTATTCTCTTGTGAAGAGATTTCTTTGTGTTTTCTGAAATTGCTTGAGTTCAACTATAATAGTCTCGACGTCACTGTTTCCAATATATTAATTTTATGAAGATCTGAAAAATAACATTAAATACAAAGTTGTTATGCTGTTATTATAATTCAAAACATAGTAATTTCCTAAACATGTATATAAACATATTATGACCACCCATGTTTCTTATACTTGATACACATTCTTTTCAAACATAACTAAATGAACACTATAGATTTAGCATTCCTAAATATATTATAAATTTGTAGTAAAAAATCACAGCCACTTGTCTTGAGCTCAAAAGATGTTAATTTATACTTTAAACAATTGTAATTTTAAAAAAACTCAGCTTGTCTTTAAATATAAGTCAAAGGTGTTGTGGATGAAAGACTTTTGATAGTATGTAGTTTTCACAATGTGTTAAATTCCTATAAATCCTAGATTTATTTGGGAAAAGAAGAAAATATATTATTTTGGACCCAAAGTAAAAAAAAAAGAAAAAAAAGGCTAAATTTTCCTATGTGAGAAGATACAGTGATGACAATTCCCTAAGTTGGGACTGTGCTCATAGATTTCTGTCAAAGGTTTTCCCTTTTGTCTGCGTGAGATATTGAGGTGTGCTACAATTTGAATCAATACATGCATCCAATGTGTGCTTTCTTCATGCAGGGATTTGAGACGGCTTGGAGTGACTCTTGTGGGTCACCAGAAGAAGATCATGAACAGCCTTCAAGAAATGAAGTTGCAGCTGGTCAACGGGGTGGCGCCATTGTAACTTCTGCCAATGTCACTTCAAGTGAATGATCTGCACTTTCTAAAGAGCCCTCAGATTTATTTTAACAAAAGGGAAACAGTGATTTCTAAACCTTAGGAGATCATTTGTCTCAGTGACCAGATTTATAATCAGTGTTTTATTAGAGTCTCCACATCTTCCTCTTTGTCTTCATTTTTCATGAAGCAACTATAACTTGCATAGAATAAAAACCCGAACTTAAGAATAAAACAACAAAATCCTTCCACTGCTTCCACAGAATTTTGTACATGAAATATATAAATATATAGCACCTTTATTGACTGAAAGATGGCAGCCCCTTTCAAAACTTCCAGGCTTCTACTTGAAAGGAAAAGTTTTGTAGCCTTTTGTGGGCTAAGAAAAGCTGCATTTTACTGAAGTTTACTTCAAGTCTGAATTGTCTACATAAGTGTATTGAAGAGCAATATGATTACATTATTTCTTAATACATACCTTTTCTTGTAATTTTAAAATGTTACTACATGGTGTTAATTTATAGAAACTAGTTTACAAACATATTGCTTGGTCACAGAAAGTACAATACAGGGTGTATATTTATTTTTCTGTGTTACAAAATTTACTTTTAGTTGCTCTTCTAGAGACTATTAGGTATAAATGTGTAGATACTGTATGCTTTGCAATATCTGCAGGAATGGATTTAGGATGGGATTTACTGTGGGTATGTATGTGTGTGTGTGTGTGTGTGTGTGTGTGTGTGTGCGTGCGTGTGTTTGCATATGTGTGCATTTTCATTCTGCTTGCATTTTTATATTGTTTTAATTTTGGCAACACATAGGAACAAATGTTCTAGAGTGTAATATAAATAGGAGAAATAGGGATGCAGTAAAGGAAAATTTCACACAAGCTGCTGTCTCTTTTTCCTATCATGCGTCCAAAAGCTACGAATCTCTTCATTCACTAACAAGAAAAGTCTATAAGATTAAATCCCTTCAGGCTTCTTAAAAATCACTTGGTGATATCTGTGACAATGCAGTTCTTCTAGCCATTAATCTTGTACCCCTGTAAGAAATTTCACCTTTCTGAGTCCCAGAAAATATCTTGTCAAGCAAAGTTGACACCAAAGGGCACATTTTCAGCAGGATGTAGAAGGATTTAACTCTGCTGGCTTCTGTTAATGTTGTTAAATCCAGGCACATAGCATGAAGTATTACCCTTAAGTGTTAATCCTTTGTAACAATTTCCATTGTGGTTTCTCTCTAGAATTTTTAATACTACAGGCAGTGATGGAATGATTCATAGAAGTAGATATATTTTTTTCTCAAAAAATTTCCAAGAGAGTTTATTTGTTGATGATAGTTTCTAAATTTCATGGTTTCATTCCATATCCAGCAACACGATCTTAAGTTTATTTTGAAGAATGAATTCATGTATTAATTAATTGGAATTTATTAGGAAATGTAAGATATGCCACTGTGTTTTCTCTGTATCATGTGTGGTAAAGATTGATTTTGGTGGTAAAAATCATGCAATTTGTTAGAAGCTATACAAAATTGAGCTCCAAGGTGAATTGAAACAAGTTTTTATGCTGTTACACTATAAAGATCTTGGAATAGCATGTGGTTTTTCAAGGAAATAGCATCTATTCATGAATATCAATGGCAATCGCTTGTCAGAGTAGCAAATGCCATGTTAAGTGTTCTCCTTTCCTATGCACCAATTTTACTTGAATATTATTAGCACATGTGTGAATAAACTTTGGGGGAGGGAATACTTCTTTATATCAAATAACTCTTTCTTGAAGAACAATGGAAAGCAAAAACTGTAAAAAAGGGAAAAATGTTAAACAGTTTTTAAAATTTCACATTGACTTTTGCCTCTTTAAAGGACCACAGATTCATGTTTTTATTAGTATGGGGAAATCTTCCAGAAAAGATGAGAGAAATAATCTAATAATCTCTTGATTAAAAATCACAAGTTACATAGGCACCAAGAGGGGGGCGGTGTGCCAGGCCTGGGGCTTCCGTGCTGTCCTTGAGATTTCTTTGCTCAAGGGTAGAACTTGGCCACTTGAGCCATGGCTCCACTTCTGGCTTTCGATGTGTGTGTGTGTGTGTGTGTGTGTGTGGCTTCTGAACAAGATCCTCAGATCTCAGCTCCCTAAATAGCTAAGATTACAGACCTGGCTGGCATTTCCATTATTATAAAGATGTATTGCTCATTCCTATAAACAAACATTATTGAAACTAGTTACTATTGTACAATATAACTGGAGATCCTTCCACATTCTACCAAGTTTTGTAAAACTTTTCCAAATCTAAGTGATAAGAAACTTCAAAATAAAAACTTGTGATTTCAAAGGAAAAATAAATACATTTTTCAGTGTTGCACTGGGCCTATCTGCTTCACAAAAATGTTCTCTAAGTTGTCATTCAAGATTCACTAAGATCTGCAAAGATCCTTAAAGATTATTGCTCATTCAAGGTGGATGATATCTAAGTGATCAGAAGTTGCGATTTTGAACTTTATTTTTACAATGGAAGAATAGAAATTAATTTGCATTAAATACATTTGCCTCTTCTGCATGCTGTTTTCACTGTGGAACATAATTCAAAATGAAAGTTAAATATTTACATAGCTCTCATCCGTACCTCAATTTGGTTGCAAATTTCTTTAAAAAATTTTTCAATCTGATTTTAGAAAAAAATAGACTTTCAAATCTGATCTTCCCTCCAAAAGGAGGGAAAATGCCTTTCTAAAATATTTATTCACCACTGGATATGTCACCAATTCTAACCTGCCAAACTCATCTATAAATGTGAGAAATGCAATGAAAAGAAGAGGCTGTTCCTGTGAAATTCAGTGAGGCCGTGTGAAGGGCAAGGTTTGACAAACCTTGATTGTGTGATTTCCTATCCTCTTGGTTCATTCCAGCACCAAAGAAATTACCAGAAACAACACATAAGACTTCATAATTTTACCACATACAAGGGATTTGTCAAATAATAAATGATTTTATTGTAACTGACAGTAGACATATCATGAAAGTTTCCAATATTAGAGTTGGAAAAAATAGATATAAGAAGAAAGTTGTTTTCAACTGATTGATACCACTTAAAGTCACTCATAATTTGTGTCTATTCTTGCCATTTGCTCATATGTCCTCTGGCATACAATCAGTTGCTCCTTTTAAAGTGTATCAACTGTATGTAACTGTATGAATGATATTTTTCCCATTTAAAAGTAATGTTCATGGTCCTTGGCTTCTTGCATTTTATTGACTATGTCAATATTCTGAAGTTGTGAATTTATGCCCCAATACTTTATGTAAACCTGAATGCAGCCAGCATTTGTTGCCTAAAGAATGCAAAACATCCTTTACTCAGTTTTTAAGTGTTTTAAGCAGTGTTCAATTGCGAAGAGACTTACCATTCTGAATCTCAAAGTTAAAATGGAATGTTAGTAACAGCAGAATACTTGTGTCTTTGCATGTCTGCAAATTCATTTCTATGTGAAAGTAAATGTTTCTCAAATGACATTTGTTCTCCCATTTGAAATGGGTTCTCAAAAGCACAAGCAGTAGTTCTCACCTTTGTTTTTGGCAGTAATGGTACACTGGATGGCAAACACTATTTTAATCAGATGTAAGAGATTTACTAACTATACAATGTTTCATAGTAGAATACGATTGTTTTACTATTTTGTTTTTTCTAAAAATTAGAAAAAAAGCCAAGTGTAATAATAAACTGTCTTGCTTTATATACTACCAGATGTGTAACCTCAAAGTAAATAAATATTAGGTATAATATAATGATGATGAGGAGGAGAAAGAGGAGGATAACAGTGAAGATGAATGGAGGCCAAGTGATAGTTTTACTTGAAATTTAATAACTAGAATAAGTCAGCATTTTTCAAATGTAACACAGCTGGTTACATTGAATTTTTCTCTATTATACTGTTAATTACATAGCAATGTATAAAAAATAGATCAGAACTTTCTTTTCATTTGCTTGTTCATTTGTGAAAAAAAGCCTTTCCACATATCAATGTTTGAATGTTCTTTTTCAGAATGATCACATAATTATACTTGGGAGAAGATGCCAACTCTTTTCTTTGTATTTCTGTTTATAACAATCAGAACCAATGATGGATTTTTTCCTTCTGAATGTTAATAAATATGGTATATTTATTGGAGCTGAGGGCTACCTTAACTGAAATGTAATGGACAACATAATTGTGAATGTTCAGACTACTGTAGTTTTAAAATTAATTGCTTACTAGTGTGTAAATCTCATTTACAGTAGTCTAAAACCCAGATTAGAGTCAGCCATTTGTTAATATGTTTATTGACATCTCTTAGTGAGTCCATAAGCAGCCGAACAGTGAATTCTATTCCAAGATAGATATCAAGCTATCTTAAAGCCCTGACTCAGAGTTAATTCAAGCAAGGATTAGCATTTCTGTATTCTTTCCACACCAGAAGCTCTATGTGCTTTTTTGTTTATGTACATGCTTTTGTAGCTTAAGATACGAAATTTTCTATTTTTTCACGAAAATAAAAATCCCTTTAAATGCAGTTAAATCTGATTGTCATGTTTGACCCTCACTTAAAAATCCTCCCCAAAATTTAAAATTTATAGCCATTATATATTGATTTCAGTTCTGATAAAAATTTTAAAAAGCCTCAATTTCCTAGGATAAAAATGTAAAAGATTAGCAGTCCACAAAGAAAACTATGAATCTTTCCATTCAAATAATCTCTAAAATAAAGATTTCTTGAGATAAAAAGACAGGATCCTTTCTGTGCTGAGACCTGATTAGAAGATGCTTTATGGCAGAGGAATGCAAAGCTTACTTGAACACTGGGTGTCTTGGGATACGTATGGAGTTGAAGAATTTGTGTTCTCCATCACCAGAAAGGCATGTTGAAATGAACAGCTTGAGCCTAAGATATTAATCTGAGAGGCCATTATGGCATAGGTACAGGCAGTTTGTTTTCAAAGAAACGCTTGCTCCTAAATATCAAAACTTCTTATCTTTTTTCCTATTATATTGCTCTTTTTAAAAAAATATTTTAATTGTCCAGTGGAGTGACAGTAACTCAGATAATGAGTAAATTTCTTTTTGAACAGTGTCACTATGTCCCTGGTTTTCTTCCAGTTTTTTCCTCCCAACCACATTCCCCCACAAG